TCATTAAGGGTAAAATTGACTTTTTTACAAAAAACTCAAATGGGCCATTTGACCCGGCTATTTTGGAAAATCTCCCCCCGTGATGGGAGTCAAAATAATGAAAGCTCTACTTTTACAATAAAAATGTACTAAAGCTCTTGATGAATCTTGGACTGTTGATTTTGATGCAACCACGAAGAGTGATCAAATTGAAATTGCATATAATATATATATTTTTAATTTATTTGATAGTGTCATTAGAGAGACCGGTAAAACTAAGGCTGCAACAAAATTTTGGAAGAAATTGGAAAGTATATATCAAACTAAAACGCTCCCAAATAAATGTTACTTATGTAAACAATTTTTCAATTTCAAATTTATTTCCAATGTTTATCTTGAGAAAAAATTGGACAGATTTAACATATTGTCCTTGAATTTCACCAATAGTGGGGAAACTATCTCAAGTGATCAACAGTCCGTAGCCTTGTTGAATTCTTTGTATGAAAAATATAAGAATTTGAAATATGCTCTTGAATATGGATTGTTTCATATTAGAATGGATTTGTTAGTTTCAAAGGGAGTAGCGTCACAATATCAATGGAAGCAGTAGTAGATAACTGTTCTCACAATGGACCTACAAGGAGTATCCAATTTTTTTACCATTCATTTCTATTTGTTTGTGTTTATAAACGCCTTATCATAATCTGAATTGGTCAATGACATAATAAAAGCTCTATTATCACTGGCAGTAGAAGTGTTGGAGCCTACGCTTTGATGACGTTGAGGGTGAAAATGATGTAACGAAATGGCCTTGGAGTCCATTCGAGGAAAGATGAAGACAAGAAAATGACACCGGAGAGATGCAAAGGAAGAATAGATAGAACAAAACCATTACGAAAATCAAAAGGCAAATATTGTGTTGAATGTAAATATGGACTTGCGATTGGAGTTCAAAATGCATATATTAGTAAACGGCTAGGAATATTGGAATTATAATAGTGTTGAAAGGAAAACTATTAGTTTTTCTGCTCCCTTTTTAAGTCTTTAATAGCCTGCAACAGAGTATCAACATACCGATAACGAGTATTTTTTATAGTATCGATTTTGAGCGTTTATGAGCGGATGAGTTATAAGTGATTTTAGTAGCAGTTTTTAAAACAGTACAACTCGTGCTTGAGATTTTATTATCTATCAGTTCTAAAGTGTTTTAAAAAAGTAAACTAGTGGAATTTTGAATTTATGATTTCTTGTATAATTTTTTTTTTTTTACAAAGTGATATTTTACATGTATATAATTTTTTTAAATATAAGTTAATATTTAACTTAAAAATTTGAATAAATTTAAATATTTACTTAAAATTTTATGTTAATATTTCTAAGTTATATATAAACTTTATAAATATAAGTTAATTTTGTACTTTTAAATAATTTGTACACATAAGCAAATTTTTTACTCATAAGTAACTTTTTATACTTTATAAAGGTTTTTTTTTAAGTTAGATTTTAACACAAAAATTTTTATAAGCAAAATAAGTAATTTTTAATTATAATATAATTTTTTTTGCTTATAAATAATTTTTTTAGTTAATATAGTTACTCACAAGTTAGTTTTGAACAAAATATGTTGATTGTAAATAATTATTTTATGAAGAGTAAAAATTAGAAAAGAATACGNATAAATAATTTTTTTAGTTAGTATATATTTATCTATAAGTTAGTATTAAACAAAATATGTTTATTGAAAATGATTATTTTATAAAGGGTAAAATTAAAAGAGAATTAAAAAACGGTAAAAAATCATCTATTTGATGGGTTGAGAGAACCGATCAAAATTATACTACACTCTTTTTGGTTGATTTTTAAAATATCCAAAATCAGTGTCCAAAAATTCTAGTAAGCATCGGTTCTTCCAACCCCCCAAAATTGCTCAAAACTAGTGAAAATAAAACTCCCAAGCATGAATTAAGGAGTGTATCCCAGATATAAAGAATAGTAAAACTCTTAGACCTCATCCACAATGAGTGTATCCCAGATATAGAGAATAGTACTTAAGTTTACATAACCGTTAAAGAAAATAGTACTTAAGTTTGAGCATTGAAGAGAACAGGTTGCTTTCATTTATCAACAACACCATCATCTTTATTTATGTTTTTCCAACTAATAGAAATCAGGCCCGATACATAGCTTCTTTTTACAATAGTGACATGTTTTCTTTGCATGTTTAGATTTCGATCAGCCCCTCATATTCCTATCAAAATTCCTATCTTAATTTCTCCTATAAAAAACTAGGACTTCAGCTTGACTCCTAGATCTTCCTACAAGATGCATCGTCTTCTCCTTAAATAGTAAAGCTCATAGACCTCATCCACAATGAGTGTATCCCAAATATAGAGAATAGTACTTAAGTTTACATAACAGTTAAAGAAAATAGTACTTGAGTTTGTGTCAATAATTAGAAGGTCAAAACAGTCATTTATGCTCGTACGAGGATAAAATATATATACAGTAGGCTAGAGTAAAATATTACAGATTTATTAACTTCTTTGATCTCATATATTCCGAGAGTGCAATCATTTACTTTTAGTGGAAAAAATAAAGACTAGTAATTAGATTGGATTGTTTAGGGTCTATTAGACATGATCTAATTATTGGAGCTTTAATAATATATGTCTGATCAGGTCCCTTGTTAGCTCTATAAAGTATTTGAACTTAATTAAAATTATAATAAAAGTTTCGTGCTTAATTGTAATTACAATAAAATTTTGTACTTAGTCGTAATTATTATAAAAGTTGTAAATGTAAGTATAATTGTAATTGAAGTTCTTGGACTGTACATGTAATTAAATATAAACTAATTGGATGTGAATTTTAATTAAAACTAATATTTGAATTTTAATTAAGACTCATATTTGAAATTTTAATTATTATTGTACATGGATTGGAACATCTTTATCGCTACAAATATATAATTGATGGAACCTAGACATCCAATCAAAAAGAACAATCATAATACATAGCCCTCATTTGGTCCCTATTAAAATTAAAATTCATTTTCTCTTTCTTCTTATTAACCATACATTCTTCAATAAAATAATAATACAAATAATCTCAATTTTTTTTCTTTATTAACCACACATTTAAAATAAAAACAAAACTATTCCAACCACTAAATTTTCAAATAATGGGGGCTAAATGGGGGCATAATTCCATAGTGTTCAAATTGGAAACAGAAAAAGTAAGAAAAATTATTTTTCTTATTGTCCTATCAAATAATTAATTTCTTGGTTTGATTAAAAGAAGGTGCTCACTCACCTTTGAAGAATACCATAAAAGATTTCGAGGTTTTGAGCATCAAGTTCTTGGAATTGAAAACACTGGAAGCTAGTGATACAAAAAATTAGAAATTTGTGATTCAGATTCAGTTTAAGAATTGATCGTCGAATTTAAGTAAAAATTCAAATCATTTGTTTTTTTATATAACATACACATGAATATATAGACGATCTTGTTTCCTGAATTAAAGTAATTTTTTATTTTCAATAATTTGCTTACGAGTTCCAACTGTTGGGGTGTTTAATTTCGGGACAAAATTACATGTAATGCATCCGATGGCGCCTAGGCGCCGCGATCATGGCGCTGAGCATCTTCTACCTTTCAAGAGTTCCAAATTCATCTAATGATTTATTCAAATTCCCTTTTCCTTTTGAAACTCAAATTGCCCAATAGAATTTAGGTCACATTATAACAAAACATCACTTCGAACCAAATTTCAATACAAGTATGTTAATATTTCTAAGTTATATATAAACTTTATAAATATAAGTTAATTTTGTACTTTTAAATAATTTGTACACAAGCAAAATTTTTACTCATAAGTAACTTTTTATACTCTATAAACGTTTTTTTTCTTATTAGTTAGATTTTAACACAAAAATTTTTATAAGCAAAATAAGTAATTTTTAGTTATAATATAATTTTTTTGCTTATAAATAATTTTTTTAGTTAATATAGTTACTCACAAGTTAGTTTTGAACAAAATATGTTGATTGTAAATAATTATTTTATGAAGAGTAAAAATTAGAAAAGAATACG